TATATATATATATATATATATATATATATATATATATATATATATATATACTGTATATATATACTGTATATATATACTGTATATATATATATACTGTATATAGGGAGACTGAAGCAATACGAGCTAATCAGAAGATATGGAGCAGGTGTGGGCAGGACCAACTGGGAGGAAGCCAAGGGGAAAGGAAAACAAGCACAAGGAGGCAACACAGGATCATTTAAGAACTCAGCACATGTAAAAATAAACTACAAAGACACAGAACACGAATAAACTTAAAAATAAACCCAAACAAAGGACTGAACCCTGACACAAACATTCTTATTTGATGGATAAAAAATCAGTACAGGACAGCATTCAATGACAGCTAGCAGAGCAGAGTTTCTCAAAGTTGCACACCTATTGAAAAGCATTTGTGAGGTTTACGCAAGCCAACTGTCTCACTGCGGTCAGATTGGTAACGGTGCGCTGATGCTGGTGTCTTCCTGCTTCTGCATACCGCCCGATCTTTAGTTTATACACAGTACGAGACCATACTTTCACCCCTGACCAAAGGCTTTGAAAATGTGGGGTATAGCTGTGTTGTCTACTTCTACAAGTTCAGTTTTTCCCCCAGGGTTAACCTTTTAAAAAACTCCCTGAGGCGTAGTAGGGTGGGAGGACGGGGGATTTCAAGCTGCACCTGAAGCAACCTTCGGTTCTTTGTTAACCCTCATAGCACTTGTTTTACTGGGAAGGGCCATTATGAATAGCTGCTACTGTAATCTTCTAAATGCCAGGTTTAGATAGAGGTGCAGTAGTTGGTTAAATAAATACAGCTAAAAATAAATTAAAAAAAATCTGTCAGAGGTGCAAAAACTGTTGGGCTTAGCTCTTTGTGGGCTAATAAGACATGTTTTTTTGTTTTTTTTTTACAGGAGATAATTGTAAATGTGAAGCTGAGTCAACAACACTTGAACAAATCATTCAAGGAAACTGTCTGCCAGATCCTTTTCACTTTGACAGTTATTCGTTTGAGTATAGAAGAAACAATGATAACTGGAAAGGGACATCCACATGCATCACCCTCAAACCAACCTCAGATGAATCGAATCAAGTCAGGTATTGAAAATTGTTCAGTTATTTCTGAAATGCCTTTTTATCATGACTTCCATGTTTACAATATATATATATAACGTTTAATATAAATTAAACGCTTTATTTATCTTAATTATATACATATAACGTTTTATTATTTATTATTTTCATGAGATGCATATGAAAAAAAATGAGGGAATGGCTATTAAGAAAAATTGTTTTTTGTTTTTGGGATACACCTAACGATTGTTTTGTAAATTGATTGATCTGTTGATTTTTTTTTTTTTTAGATTAATTAATTAATAATCGGACAGCCAAACAAGATCTTTTACGAAATTAAACTAGGTTTTACACAATTTTGATTTAATTACTACTCTAAGTGGGTCGCTCTGTCAACTAAAGGCATGTTTTACAGTCTCGATTATTCATTTAACAATTAATTGATTACTAAATTAGTTAACGATTATTTCAATAATTAATAAATCACGATTAACCTGATTAATTTTTTCATTCCCAAATTAAACATTGAAATATTTTTTATATTTGGTTAGGGTGGGTTTGAAATGAAGGTGTTTAATTATGAAATAAGCAAAAACAGGCAAGTCCAATTTACCTTTTTACCTTCACAATAGAAAAATCTTTATAACTCTTGTGGTCTTAAAGTGATCCTCTCCTCATGATTGATGTTCCCTTTTTCTAAAGTTTAGAAAAATATATAGACAGACAATGTTTGGTCATATTTTTTTTAGAATTTTTGTTATGTCAGCTAGTCAGGCTTTATTTCTATATTTCAGACTAAAAGCCTTTAAGCTTTTTTTTATTATTTTTATTTCTTATTGATACTCTATGCGTCTATCCAACTACTATCTAAGGTTTGAAGTGTCTCCTCCCCTAGACACTGCAAAACATCTCTCATTTAGAGAAAAATATCTATCAGCCTTGCAAACAAAACACAAATACACAAATAACAATCACTGGTTGCCTGCAATCATAGACTTGCTGTTGCATTGTCCCTTTTTAAAATTTTCTCTTTATTTATTCTGACGATAGATTAACTGAGAAGTGATTGCCTGAGCTACTCTGACACACAAATGTTTGCTTTGAAATAAAAATGATAATTGAAAATTTGGCCTTGGATGCATTTTTTTTTAAATGTATTTTTAAAATTCTTTTCTTACATATATATGGTGCAGCCCAGATCTAACAATACACTGATTGTTCATATCATAGTACCAGCTGCATTGAGAACTGTGACCCAATCGACACATCCATGGACACAAAAGTAAAAATGGAGTGCAGTTCATGTTCGGATATTGTGTGGTACATTGAGGAAATAACAGGCCACGAGCCAGAGGGTGTAAGTATTATAAGTGTTGCTTTCTTCTAAACACATGCACAGGTTAAAAAGGTATATCTGCAGAGCAAATAAATTATGTTAATTTCTTTACAGCCTACAAGGGATTGCTACAGAAAAGCAAATCAAAAACCACTCCGTAACAAACAGGAACAAAATACTGAATATGTTATTCCCCAAAGTGATATTCACTATGCATCAGACAAAAAAAAGGATATAACTGTTGTATTAATTTATTCATGTGAGTGTGTTTTAACTTTTTTAAGTTTTGTCTTGTTAAGATATTTTGTCCATTATGAAATGTCAAAATATTTACCTGACTTATGTGTACTGAACTCTCCAAGTCTGATAACATTGACAGTTGCACAAGGTGAACCCACTCCTTTTAAAATGCTAGGTTTTCATTATTTTAAAAAAATCAGACAACTTCTATATACGTTCTGCACTTTAGGTTAAAAGAAAAACAATTGGGGAAATACATATAAATGAACATTCTCAAATTTCAGTTATATACTGTAAATCTTACACTGGAAAATTTCTGAAATTCAGACATTGGGTATTCAAAAACTGAGCGAAAGTCCTATCACCTTTCAATTTAAGCCTGTTTGTGGATCAAACATTGTCATTCCAAAAACTGAAAAGTCAAATATTGACAGATTTTCGCAAATACTGCTAATATCAGTTGCAATGTTTAACTCACCAATGTTTGAAATGTCAATATTTGATTAATTTCACAATGCAAAATCTTCTTTTCAATATTAAAGCAAACTGTCTCAGTTTTAGCTCCATACACATTTAGAATATCATTTACTGAAAACCACTCCTAATTACTGTTTTTGTTCTTGTTTTCTAAAGTGAATAATAACTTACGTTATAAAAAGTACATCCTAGACACAATTCCATCGTCTGAGTCTCCTAATGGTACACCACCTGGAGCAATCAGTACAACCACGAACACAGCTGCACCCCCAGCTGAAACTACTGCAGCTACACCAGCAGTTACAACTGCCTCTTCAGATGCTACGTCTGAGGCAGCTACATCTGCTGCTGGAGGGTCAGCTACATCTGCTGCCGGAGGGTCAGCTACGTCTGCTGCTGGAGCGGCAGCTACGTCTGCGGGAGCTACATCTGCTGCTGGAGGGTCAGCTACGTCTGCTACCGGAGGGTCAGCTACGTCTGCTGCTGGAGCGGCAGCTACGTCTGCGGCGGCTACATCTGCTGCCGGAGGGTCAGCTACCACTGCTGCCGGAGCGGCAGCTACGTCTGCTGCCGGAGCGGCAGCTACGTCTGCTGCCACAGCGGCAGCTATATCTTCTGTGATACCATCGACTTCAGCCTTAACCTCAGTGAATGATCTGGATTCTGAAGTACAGGAGGCTGTGGAAAAGATAAAGAATGAAGGTCTATCAGGAGACACTATTGGAAAAATGTTCAATTCTGTGTGTGAAAAGCTTAACAGCCAAACTGATGAATCAGAAAAAGAAGATCGAAAAGAGGTAAATTCACTGTGAGGGATATCCATTAGTCTGATGTATGCAGTGTTTTCAAATGTCCAAATATCTAATTAAAGTGCATGATTATATATTGGAAAATTTATCAAGACACATTGGGGCCTTTCAACAGAGCCCAGCTAGTGGGGAAAAAAATGCTGATTCTACCTACAACAGTGATTAACAGTGCTGTTACAGCACTGTTACAGTCTCTTGGTTGATTTGTTAAACTGTAACAGGTTTGATCCCTCTCCCTTATTAGTGGAATAGACTTATTTTTTTTTATTCATTTAGACACTTAAAAGTTACATCTAAAAAAATAAAATGTGGTAGAAAGGTATTTATTTAAATATTTCATTTTTAAAGGCAAAACACACATATTCATTGCATACATTGATATTTAAATGTGTATTTCTAATATATATTATTTGAGCTAAGGTAAAACAGAAAAAAAAAGTTTTTTGGAACACTACATGAGATCAAACATAATAATTTTAAATACTGTAAGCACATATATTTGTTAGTATATGAATTTAAACAAGATGCAGCTTGTTATGAAGATCAACCTGTGGCTCTGCAGAAGTGTTTGGATCCCCAGCTTGCTCAAGCGGTGGTCTTTACCTTGTCTAGCTCTATGGTACTCTTTGTAGTCAACGTAAAGTGATAAGTCTTTTCTAATTTAACCAAGTTAAATCTATCTAGTAATCTTTGGCTCGAGTTTGAACTGAGTGAAGACACTGAGTTAAGGTTTATTCCTGTTATGTTGGCCACAATATAACCATAAAGCAACATTACTTTGTCAACAATAGATTGAGTAATATTCTTGGTACCCTTTTGAAAATGATGGGCCAGCTCACCGTCAGCGCTACATATTTATTATTGCAGAAACTGCAAAACAGAAACATGCAGCAGGTTATCGGAGGAGTTGCTCGGTGCGTTTGCTCTAAACTGCTTCACAAAATGCTGGCCAACTTTTTCTGCTTTATATCACAATGCGTCTATACTGTGCATTCTAGTGATCAAACAGTAGAACTTCAACAGTCCTTATTATACCTTGTCAGATTACCGTCTCTATACTTGACAGTTTTATTTTCACATACATCACTTTCATGAACTGACTAGATCACCAAAATGTATATTATTATACGAACAAATACCATCATTAACTCTACTCATGTTTTATCATGCTTTAATCAATTATTTTTATGGATTATATTTTAGATGAAGGTCCTTTTAACATTTCCATTCTATTCCATCTTAATGAAATCAACACAATGTTTATCTAATCTTTTGATCACAAGAAGATCTATATAGAAAATATGTAGCACAGTTTTAAACTAAAAATAGCCATATCGGAATATTGGCTTTACTCTGTCAAATAATGGACTAACATGTGCTTAGCCTGATGCTCAACTTTGCTTCATTTTTGGCTCAACAGTTTGGTTTAACTTGAGTTCCTCATGACATGACCCCTTTTACCCTCTTTAAAATAGGTTGGGGCCATATACTCGTGCTTTTACTGACAGTATGTGCATGTATTAGTTCTTAGATTCTTTCTCTTCAATTACAAAGACAAAAAACAGTTTGGCACCCCAACGCTGTGACGAGTCCGCTTGTATTTGCGATCTTGTCCTTTCGGTCATTACCCAGATCTCATGACCATAGGTGGATGGGAACATAGATCGATTGGTTAATAAAGAGCCTTGCCCCCTGACTCAGCTCCCTCTTCACCAGAACAGTCCGATACAGCGAACACATCACTTCCATCGCCGCACCGATCCATCTATTGATCTCGCGCTCCATCCGTCCCTTACTCGTGAACAAATAACATAATATTTTTAAATATGTTTTTGTGTAACTAGAATAGCGTGTATGTCATTTCATTTGAATCTGTCTAATTATTCAATAAAATTGGCAATGTGTTTTTCTACTTATAAATGCATTTTTTGTGTTCTAGTAAAATGCCTTTCTTAAAATTGGCTGTATAGGAATAAATTGAATAAGTGAGAGAGGGAGGGATTTTCCAGTTGGCCTCATTTTCCAGATGTTGCTTTATTGGAGCATCCCAAAGAAAAATGTTCACTAACTCTGCATAGCTAACTGTTTTATACTTTTATTTCCCCTCATGTCATACCATTCCCCCCTTAACAACAAAAGACTAAATATATACCTTTTTTTTTTTTTTTCAAAGCTGAGAGAGAAGATGATTGATTTGCTGATTGATACAATAAAGGAATCTCCTTTAAAAATTCCAGAAGAGGCTCACGTGGTAGCCAGAGTGCTTATCTGTCTTATCCAGAAAGGCGATGAACTCAGTTTATCTGCACAGGTAATGGCATTTTATTGTTTTGGAAAAGTAACCTGAACTACAATTGTTGCAACTTATAATACATCTCTACACTTTAAATATTAGCAACTCTTTCTGCATTTTTTGCTATTGTTTTTAAAGGATAAAGGGATCAGAAAGACATCCTATTTTTAATAATTGTTTCAACAGTGTAATCTATGATATTAGTTGATGATTTCACTCTACTTTGGGGTGCAACACCTAAACCCCAATTTACGATGACGTTAAACAAACAGTGGAAACTTCATTATTGTCTGATGTCTGAGAAGTTTTTTGGAAAAAAGAGAATGAAGGTTAAAGTCAGAGAGGTTAGACTGAGCTATAAATTAAATATACAGAAGCTTTCAAAATGTTACTTTATGTGGTTTAGGTTTAGATCATTGGGAATCTAGAACCACCAGTGGCGGGCCGTGCATTTCACACCTAGGCCTGCGGTAGTGCTACGTCTGACTCAATCCAACCCTCAATAACTATTTTATGGCTATAGAACTTCTACTGCAGGTACAGCTGCGACACACATAAAAAGGAATAAAAAAAATAACCTGATAAAATTGCAATATTAATTAGAAATATAGTAACATTTTACACACCAAAAATCCTGATTATTTGTACACAAAATCAATCCTTTCTTTCCTCAAGAAGATTTCAATAACTCTGTTGTGCAGATTATCCGTGCGTTTCAGTTCCATCAAGAAGTCCTTATCGCCATCGAAGCTAAAGCTAAAAGTCGAGCCTGCCCTGTCGTATTTCTGGCATAAGTTTTAATTCGCTTAAGGGCTGAGAATGTCCGTTCAACAGAAGCAGTACACACGGGGATGGTCACTGCCAAACACACAAATGTGTATAGCTGCGTCGTGCTCTCATTGAGATTTTTCTGCTGAAGGAAGTCAAGGAGATCAGTGGGAGATTTTCCCTCAAAATCATCTATAGCATAGATTACAGTTAGCTCTGTTCTTAGCCGAGGTAGATCGATAAGTGTTCTGTGGCTCTGTGCTAAGCTGGGAAAGGCTGCATGAGGGAAATTTTTCTGGTATTCCCGAAATTTCTGGGGGTCGAGGAGGGTGACAAAGATCAGTTTTTCGTGGTCTTCAAATCTGGTCTGCGTCTGGCAAATAACATTGTCCAGAATCCTGTCGTAGAGTTGGTGGTAGTGCGCGCGAGGATCTTGTGCTGGACCTCTTCGTGTGCTCGGAGCACCCGCGGTGCATTCTGTAGCCTCGTAGATTTCCTCGTATCGGCTCCTCTCTCGCGTAACAGTGTCACAAAACTCCTTTACCCTTGCCAGACAAAACTGTACATCCAGTTTTTTGTCCTGTAGTACTGAAAAGAGCACATCTGAGTACTCAAAAATGCCATTAAATGTGTCAAGCAAAAAACAAAACTCAAAATCACCCAGACGTGCTTTAAATCCCCCTCCTTGAACCGCCACCTTAACGTGGTGGAGGGGTTTCAGTGCCTGGGTGATCCCAGAGGCTATGTTGTCGGGGGCTAAATGCCCCTGGTAGGGTCTCCCAAGGCAAACAGGCTCTGGGTGACAGGTCAGACGAAGAGCGGTTCAAAAACCCTTATGACGAGGACTACAACGAGGCAAGTGACGTCGCTCGGTACGGCGGTGCCATGACCCCTCCCTGGAGCCAGGCCTGGGGTTGGGGTTCGTCGGCGAGCGCCTGGTGGTCGGGTTCTTCCTCGCGTGACCCGGTCAGGCCCAGCCCGAAGGAGCGACGCGAGGCCATCCCCCAGTCGGCCCACCACCTGCAGGGGGAACCATGAGGGACCGGTGCAAAGTGGATTGGGCGGCAGCCAGAGGCGGAGACCTTGGCGACCTGATCCACGGGCGCTTAAACTGGCTCTGGGGACGTGGAATGTCACCTCACTGGCGGGGAAGGAGCCCAAGCTTGTGCTGGAGGTGGAGCGATAACAGCTAGAAATAGTTGGGCTTGCCTCTACGCACAGCCAGGGCTCTGGAATACAGCTCCTTGAGAGAGGCTGGACTCTCTTCTACTCTGGAGTGACCCGCGGGGAGAGGCGGAGGGCAGGGGTGGGGCTGCTTGTCTCCCCCCAGCTCAGCCGTCTCGTGTTGGCGTTCACCCAGGTAGACGAGAGGGTCGCATCCCTTCGCCTTCGGTTGAAGGGAGGACTCTGACAGTTGTTTCGGCCTATGGGCCGAACAGCAGTACGGAGTACCAGGCCTTCTTAGTATCCCTGGGGAGGGTGTTACTTCAACGCCCACGTGGGAAACGACAGTGACACCTGGAGGGGCGTGATAGGGAGGAACGGGCCCCCAGCTCTGAACCCGAGTGGTGTCTCATTATTGGACTTCTGTGCAAGTCACGGATTGTCCTTAATGAACACCATGTTCAGGCATAAGGATTTCCATCGGTGCACTTGGCACCAGGACACCCTAGGCCGAAGGTCGATGATCGACTTTGTAGTCGTATCTTTTGATCTTCAGCCGCATGTCCTGGACACTCGGGTGAAGAGAGGGGCGAAGCTGTACACCGACCACCACCTGGTGGTGAGTTGGATACTCTGGAAGAGGAGGAAGCCTGAACGACTCGGCAGGCCCAAATGTGAAGTAAGGGTCTGCTGGGAACGTCTGGTGGAACCCACAGTCAGGGACGTGTTCAACTCCCACCTCCGGGAGAGCTTCTCTCAGGTTCCGAGGGAGGTTGGAGACATGGAGTCTGAATGGGCTGTGTTCTCTGCTTCTATTGTCGATGTGGCTGCCCGTAGCTGTGGCCATAAGGTTTGCGGTGCCTGTCGTGGTGGAAATCCCTGAACCCGGTGGTGGACACCGATAGTAAAGGATGCTGTCAAGCTGAAGAAGGAGTCCTATCGAGCTTGTGGGACTCCTGAAGCAGCAAGCAGGTACCGTGAGGCCAAGCGTGTCGCGGCCCGAGCAGTTGCAGAGGCAAAATCTCGGTCCTGGGAGGAGTTCGGAGAGGCCATGGAAAAATACTATCGGTTGGCCAAAAAGTGATTCTGGCAAACCGTCTGGCGCCTCCGGAGGGGAAAGCAGTGCTTCACTAACACTGTTTTCAGTGGGAGTGGGGAGCTGCTGACCTTGAAGGATAATATTGTCGGGCAGTGGAAGGAATACTTTGAGGATCTCCTCAACCCGACAGACACGCCTTCGGTGGGGGAAGAAGAGACGGGGTGCTTGGGGCTGGATTTGTTCATCACCCAGGCCGAAGTCACCGAGGTGGTCAAAAAACTCTATGGTGGCAAGGCTTCGGGGGTGGACGAGATCCGTCCTGAGTATCTTAGAGCTCTGGATGTTGTCGGGCTGTCATGGTTGACACGTCTCTTCAACATCGCGTGGAGCTCGGTGACAGTTCCCCTGGATTCGCAGACCGGGGTGGTGGTTCCCCTCCACAAGAAGGGGGACCAGAGGGTGTGTTCCAACTATCAGGGAATCACACTTCTAAGCCTCCCCGGAAAGGCCTATACCAGGGTGCTGGAGAGGAGAGTCCAGCTGATTGTCGAACCTGGGCTGCAGGAGGAGCAGTGTGGTTTTCGTCCTGGCCATGGAACAGTGGACCAGCTCTACACCCTCTGCAGGGTGCTTGAGGGTTCATGGGAGTTTGCCCAACCAGTCCACATGTGTTTTGTGGGACTGGCTCCCTCCTGCCAAGACCTACAGCGTGCGCTGGGTGGTTTGCAGCCGAGTGTGAAGCGGCCGGGATGAGAATCAGCTCCTCCAAGTCCAAGGCCATGGTTCTTGACCGGAAAAAGGTGGCTTGTCCCTTTCAGGTTGGAGGAGAGTCCCTGCCTCAAGTGGAGGAGTTCAAGTATCTAGGGGTCCTGTTCACGAGTGTGGGAAGAATGGAGCGGGAGATCGATAGACGGATCGGTGGAGCTGCTGCAATGATGCGGACGCTGCACCGGTCATTCGTGGTGAAGAGAGAGCTGAGCGAAAAAGGCAAATCTCTCAATTTACCGGTCAGTCTACGTTCCTACCCTCACCTATGGTCATGAAATTTGGATCATGACCCAAAGAACGAGATCCCGGATACAAGCGGCTGAAATGAGCTTTCTCCGCAGGGTGGCTAGGCTCTCCCTTAGAGATAGGGTGAGGAGCTCGGTCATTCGGGAGAGGCTCAGTGTAGAGCCGGTTCTCCTCCACATCGAGAGGAGTCAGTTGAGGTGGCTCGGACATCTTCTTCGGATGCCCCCTGGCCGCCTCCATCGGGTGGTGTTCCAGGCACGTCCCACCGGGAGGAGGCCCAGTGGACAACCCAGGACACACTGGAGAGACTATGTCTCTCGGCTGGCCTGGGAGCACCTAGGGCTTCCCCCAACAGAGCTGGAGGAGGTGTCAGCGTAGAGGGAAGTCTGGGAGTCTCTGCTTAGTCTGCTGCCCCTGCGGCCCGGTTCCAGATAAAGCTGGAGACGACGAGTACGAGTACGTGCTTTAAATCCATCAGCACAGCGCACATAGTCCTCATCATACTCGTCATGATGCTCCAGAATGTGATGAAACAGTTCCTTTAGAGCATCTCTCTTCTCAAAGACTGTATTGACCACTCTGGATGTGTACTGTCACTGTGTTGGTGCCAAACGAGGGAGACGTCGCTGGCAGATTTCGTCCAGTAGTTGCGTGCGCCGAGTTAATCTAGAGGTTAACAATTTATGAAGGAAATTAGCTGGGTTATCAGTGATTTCACATATTTTGAAAACTGTCTACATTAGAATAACGGGTTTAGTATTTATATTGTTCATCTTCATCAAGACAGAGCCTATTCATTTTCTTTCAAAGTCTTTGTCTTATTTTAGTTCTTTATCAGATGCCTTTTGGGACTTTAGAACTTAAGTCTTATGATAACTGTCGCATGCGTTCTATGATAACATCCAAATGATTGCATAACTCAGAAAATGGGTCATGATGCCCTTGAATCAAGAGTTTAGCATATGTAGATGAGGGCTCGGCGAGCTAGCTTAGAAATATAACCTTAGATATCTTTCTTACCAAATCCAATTAATCGATTTGTATCCCTTCTATAAAAAGTGACAAACCACATGCATCATTTTCAAAAACTAGCTTTTACTTCTATTATTTCCTACTTATCTTAAATTCAAAGAAACTAAAACTGTGAAACATGATTGTTTTACAAGCTTGTTTCAAGAGAAACAATGAAAATATGAGATGCTAAATCTTTACAGATAATATGATGTAATTAGCTACAATTAATTAGTTATGAGAAGACATCTAAGAACAAAATTAATTAACTGGATTCAGATTGTGCTACTGAAGCCCTAGGGAGTGCCCCCCTGCATGGACCAAATCTAACAAAATTGTTTGATACAAATTTTACTTTAGAATGTAGTGGGGTCATGCTTTTCTAACACCAAAAACACATATATAACAAATTAAATGGTGTAATTTGTAAATCTCAGCTTACAGAGTATGCTGTATGTCATCATTTATAATACTATGTACCATAGCAAGTTTCTTCAGTGCAAACATACCAGTTTTTATTTTTTTCTTACTGAAAAACAGATGTGATTAAACCCATTACTAATAAAATGTTACACGCATATATTTTCTAGTCAAATAAATATACATAACAAATATAGGTTTTACTTTTTACATTGTGCAATGTTTACTTAAAACTAACTGCCATTTGATTTTATTAGTTCATGTTAGATTGTCTTTTATTATATAAAAATAAGCCATCCTCTGCTTAATACATACAACCACATATGCACTGATAACTCACAAAAGCATTCAGACCCACATACTCTAGTAAATTATGAATAACTAAAGTGATTCCAAAAATTCTGATAGAATAGGGCTATAACCTTCACCGGTGGTGTGTGGCAGAGTAAATCCAGATATTCGCTTGGGAACATGACCCAAACATTAGTGCCACAAACAATGCAAGTATAGTCGAATTAGCTTTGGACCCCACTCTTGACTGTCATTCAACAAGCTGATATTCCATGCACAGATTGATGCTGCTGCATTGTTTGCTAACATCAGCCAATCTCTCCTGGATATGAATGTGAGCACAGCTGAAGACAAGGAAGCATTTCTCTCTGCAGCAACGGCCATAGTGGAAGGAGCAAGCAAGATGTTTGAGTATTCTTCCAGCGTGAGTTGTCAACTTCTTTGAGATGTTTCAAAGGAGGATTTGCAGATTTTAACACTTCTTTTGATGCATTTTAATCAGCAGGGCCCAAAAAGCAACTATAATTTCAAAATGTATTGCAGTAGGTCTTAACTGATCCAGGCAATATGGTCTAGTGTAGGTGGTTAATGTTCTTGAAAATAATTAACTTTTTAATGTTTTGCAGAAAAACATCTCTGATGCTCTGCTTAATGCTCTCAACTTTACACAAAGTGGTTTGTTGAAAACAATGAAGATTAACGAAGACCCGATTATAATACAACAACCTCACATTAATCTACTAGTTAAAAGGTAGGTATAGTTTGATATCAAACTAAGAAAAACAAACTTTTTATGAATTAGAGATTGAATAGGTGTCATTGACATACATAGTATGTTTGGTACACAGTTTATCCCTGAAGGACAAGGTTTGACTCTTCAGGTACTCAAAAAAAAGTGTTTTTAAAACAACAGATTTGACTATAATACTATGCAGTGAATTATACTGAAGCTGACATTTGGTTTGAAAAAAAAACGAAAGACATTTTCTTTTGGAATTTAATAAAAAAAAAAAAAAAAAAAGGACAACAGTTGCTGACTTTACCTTTAGAAGCAGAGAGGTTTGTATTTTGCAGCGTTTTGGTGAAGAAAAGTAATCACCGGTGAACTTAGAGAAGCAATTTTTGCTGCCCATCATTCTAGGAGGGATTAAAAAGATATTTCTAAAAATCTGAAATCCATCATAACACAATGAAAATTGTATTGAAGACTTCTGCAGATCTTTCCAGGAGTTGATGTCCCAGTTAGTTCATCTCAGTCATGCTAAAAAATAAATAAAAAACATTCCAGAATTCAATTTCAGTGTCAGCTTCATTCCTTAGTGAAGTGTGCGGTTGTAACTTAATGACACAAAAGACTGAACTAGTATAGCCTTTTTGGAATGGGTTTGAGGAGGAACCTTACTAAAAATAACATTTCAGAATTATTTAACATAGAAAACTTGTATTTGAATAAATCCTTAAACCTCTGAAATAATGTCCTATAGCAAGTGCTCCCAAATGAAAACATCAGAACTACAGTGTATAGTGCATCATGTCAGCAAAACACCTTTTATCAATCTTTAAGCATGGTGCTGGACAGGCGGTAACTTGGGCATCCATTGAATTAATCAAGTGGACCATAAATTGTTCTCCATACCAAACTATTCTAGAGTACAATGTGAGGTCAGCTCCAATTAAAAAGCACCGAATGTTCTGACGAGCAGCTTTAAAAGAAACCATTTAAATGTTGCAATGGCTCAGTTTAAACCCAGACCCTTAGGCTGTGTCATGCTGTAGACCGCCGAGCTAAAAAGAAATAGAGCCCCGTAAATCTCAAGGAACAAAACCAAAATTGTAAAGAATGGTGACAATCGGGAGAAAAAAAAACCCAACATCTTCTTGGGGAGCAGTGGGCTGCCATTGTGTGGCAGTCAGGGAGCGTTGTTGGGTTAAGGGTTTTGCTCAAGAACCTGGAGTGGAGGATGTGGGGATCGAACTGGATACTTGCAACCTTCTCAGAGCACAAGCTCTAACCCATTAGGCCAACACCCTCTAAGTTATTACTTAACGTGCATGATGAGACGTAAGTCATCTCCTGCACACAGCTTTTCTAATTTCTCAATAATGAAAAACATTGAATGTGTTGAATTTATGTTTTCATACGCATTAGACAATGTTTGTATAATTTTATAGCCTGCTCAGAACCACACCATTACTGTCAGGTAAAAACTAAAAATGGAAAAAGGTCTTTTGTATTTTTTCACAGCTTAATTTAATGCCTGCTCCTTTCATCCTGCAGAGTGACACATGAAAGTTTACACACAGAGCCCATAAGTGCCAACTCCAGTTCTCAGCCCTCATTTTCTCTGCCTCAACTGGCTTCTGACATGTTTCCCTCAGAGGAACCAGTGGATGTTCGAGTAAGTCAAAATAAGTGTTTCATGTGAAATCAGTGTTGCCAAGAACAGGTGTTTTCCAGACGCTGTGCATGCTTGATCAAAGTTCTCCTCAATTTTCTAAAGTGTCTTTCTTGAAATGAGATTGAGTCAGGATTTGTTCTTTCAATACAACAACAGATGCTGAGTTTAGATATAAACCCCTTTTCTTGGAACGAGAAAGGAAACATCAGTGGCCTAATAGGTGGTCTGTCCCTCACAAGACAAGATGGATCCGGTATCCCTGTGGAGAACTTAAGTGAAGATATTGAGGTCAGTGTAGCAGCACTGCATCATCTGGTTTTTTTTTTACTGAACTGTGATTACCTTTTGAAACAAACCTCACTGAGAAGATTTCAGAGTATCCTCCCAAGAAATTTTTCTTTTATTTTTAAACAAAAAAAGAGAAGAACGTTTCTACCTGTATGTTAATATGAATTGGAAAACTGTTTGTGTGGAACTTTTGGTCGCAAATTAAGGTAAATGTCAAAATTTGCGGAAATTTTTGGATTTCTATAAAGCTGTTTCCCTATATACAGTATATGGCTGCATATATATATATATATATATATATATATATATATATATATACAAACATATATAGATATAAATAACATGTTTAACATGATGAATGAATTAATAAATAATATAAATGTTGGAATGCGATTTTCATATTGCTCAGAATATCATCTGGGTATAGAGGAGGTTAAATTTAAAAAATTTACTGTTTTTCAAAGTTACTCTTTATACATCCTTTTTTTTTCCTGTTCTTGTTTAAAAATGTAACATGCTCCAGATTAGATGTGTCATACTGAAAGGAACTGAGTTTGAATTAGGCCAGAGGGGGTTTCGATTTTCAGCTAAATCATTCCTAGCACATAACACACCCACCCCTAAGGCATTAAAATAGACCTACTTCTACTGTTTGCATCCCTGGGTCTGCTATGAGCCTGGATCTTGAAACTGTGCAGAATAATCTTGTCCAATTGGTTTGTGGGCATGGGAGCACAAACTATTTAAGTGTGAAAAGAGAAAATTAAATGCTATTTCTAAGTTTTCTCCATTCATTTGCAAACAAAACAGTGGAGAAATTAATCTACTTATAATTCAGTTCAGAGCCATGGGGATATCTGAATCAAACTGATATTATTTATGATAATGGGAATAACAGGAGTAAACAGACCTCTTCATATTTATCTTAGTCAAAGAAAAAAAAACTCCAATTAAAGCAGTGAACCCTCTGTGAATGTGCTAAACATTAACAGAATAAACGGTTATTTGAATGCTTATATAAATGTATATATGCATGTATGGGGCGACAGTGGCGTTGGATGTAGGAGTTTGCCCTGAAATCAAAGGGTTGACGGTCCAAGCCC